CCGGCACAACGTGGGACTGCCCAGTACTGTCAAGAACTAACCTGCACAGCCTAACACCGCACAGTACTGTCTAATACTAAAAGGCACAACCCGGCACAGCCAGGCCGAGCCCAGCAGAGCTCGGCACAGTCTGGCATCGCCCGATATTGTCTAATATTGACTGGTTTAACGTGGCACCGCCCACTGCTATCAAGAACTAATTGATACAGCCTGGCACCGCCCGGTATTTTTTAATATTGACCGGCACAATATGGCACCGCCCAGTACTGTCTACTACTAACCGGCACAGCCTGGCACCGCCCATTACTGTCTAATACTAACCTGCACAGTCTGGCACCGCCCAGTACTGTCTATAACTAACCTGCACAGCCTGGCAACGTCCAGTACTGTCTAATACTGAAAGCACAGCCTGGCACTGCCCGGTATTGTCTAATATTGACCTGCACAGCCCAGCACCGCACGGTACTGTCTAATACTTACCGGCACAGCACGGCACAGCCCGGTAGAGCTCGGTACAGACTGCTACCGCCAAGTACTGCCAAGAACTAACCGGCACAATCTGGCACCACCCGGGTTTGTCTGATATTGACCGGCACAGCCTGGCATCGCCCGGTTTTTATGTAATATTGACCGGCACAATGTCGCACCGCCCAGTACTGTCTAGAACTAACCTGCACAGCTTAACACCGTTCAGTACTGTCTAATACTAACAGGCACAGCCTGGCATCGCCTTGCACCACCCGGTATTGTCTAATATTGACCGGCACAACGTGGTACCATCCAGTACTGTCTAGAACTAACCTGCACTGCCTTGAACCGTCCAGTACTGTTTTATACTAACAGGCACAGCCTGGCACCGCCCGGTTTTGTCTAATATTGAACGGCACAACGTGGTACCACTCAGTTCTGTCTAAAACTAACCGGCACAGCCTGGCATCGCCCGATATTTCTTAAATATTTACCGGCACAATGTGGCATCGCCCAGTACTGTCTAAAACTAACCTGCACAGCCTGGCAACGTCCAGTACTGTCTAATACTGAAAGCACAGCCTGGCACCGCCCGGTACTGTCTATATATTGCACAGCCTGCACAGCCCAAAGCACAGCGGCACTGCCCGTATTGTCTGACCTGCACAGCCCAGCACCGCACGGTACTGTCTATACTTACCGGCACAGCACGGCACAGCCCGGTAGAGCTCGGTACAGACTGCTACCGCCAAGTACTGCCAAGAACTAACCGGCACAATCTGGCACCACCCGGGTTTGTCTGATATTGACCGGCACAGCCTGGCATCGCCCGGTTTTTATGTAATATTGACCGGCACAATGTCGCACCACCCGGTATTGTTTGATATTAAACGGCACAGCCTGGCACCGCCCAGCATTGTCTAATATTGTCCATATAATAATAAGTTTTCATCATAGTTTGTAATCATTTCGATATAGTTTGTCTCGATTTGTCAGAGTTTGGAACGATTTATCATCATTTTGCCATAATTTGTCAACATTTTGTGATGTTTTTTTTTTGGAATCGTCATCTTTTGGTCATATTTTGTGAAAATTTGTCATTATTTGTCATATTTTGTTATTTTTTTCACGATTTGTCATCATTTTTCACTATTTATCATCAATCGGCATCATTTTGTCTTTTTCGCGATTCGTCATAATTTGTTGTCAAATTGCCAATATCCATTTTTATCACGTTTTACACTTTTTTCGCTCACCTTTTGACACATTTTTCACTTGTTTTTCTTTCTTGTCATGTTTTATTTTTTTTACAAATGTTTTAGTCATTTTTTACACCTCTTTCGCTCATTTTTTTTATTACATAATTTGTACTTTTAGTAACAAATATAAGCCAAAGGAATAATTTTTCTTCAAAACATTTTGTTTTCACAATAATTGTGAATATTGACATCATAGTGTCATTTTAGGAACAGTCTGCACCTGACGATATGTAGGTCAAGACCATTACCGACTGACTTTCAACTTTGAGGACAATTTGCTCATCTGCTTTTTAGGATAAACGTACTCAGTACGTAATAGCCTATTGCGACGACCTTTTAGACAAAATTTACCGATCCTGGCCTTCTCATTGGCTGAAATATCGAAAAGAGTTAGAGCCCTCTAACGGCAATTTTCTGCGTAAATAATGCCGCGATCTTTCAAATCGCTATTTTAAAACATCCACAATTAGTTTATTTTTTTAAAATAACAATACGATTACTATATATTAAACAAAGTATGCACAGTGTGGTAAAACTATTGATAAATTTTGAACAATATATTTTACGGAATTTGCTCACGGACATCCCCGACCTCTGCTGCTGAAGAAGATCGAGCTGACGTGATTCTTATCGCTTGCTGTGAATATTCCTAGAAAACAACCATATTTACCTTAAGTAAGAAAAAAATGGTTTCTTGTATCTTCAAAGTTTATTATAACTGCATGACTTGATTTGCAGTGTATTTACTGTATGGCGGGGCTTATGAATCCTTCTCGACATGACGTAAGCGTCAAGAACACTGTTGTGCGAGTTGGCGCCATGATAAGAAGCTAGCCTAGGGGCTTGGTTTGAATTATCAACTAACAACACTTACAAACAAACAAAACTTACAAACAGAACATCGATTTTGCGTTAATCCTTTTCGTTGTGGCGAGATCGTCTTAATATATAACATCACTTTACCTCATTAGACGTCACAAAATTGGAGTGCTCGTCCCACGCGCACACCCGCCGATAAACTTTTCAGGTTTTTCACACCCACCGCCATGACACTTTGTTTTTGAAGATAAAAAGCTTGCGCTTCGTAGGCAAGGTACATTTGGTGCTCATGATTTATGAATGATACATTTCTTTATACTGTACTGATCATGATGTTGACTTTGTTATAACTTATATTTTTTGTCTTTTAGTTTTATTTGATGAAGGTTGATTGTGCTGATTTCTCAAGGTTTGTTAATGTGTATCAAAGTTCCTTGAAATGAAAATATTCCTTCAAACAAAGCGCGTATAAAACAAAGCCCAAAATATTCATGTTTATAATTTTCAATTAACTAGAACGAAATATTTCTATAACATATTTATTCATTTTGCGTGTCATGGTGACATTATCTAACGCATCGGATATCAGAAATAGTAGTAGCTATAGTGAAAATATTGTAAATTTTGTATATATGTGGAAGTCTGGTTTAATCTCATAGAACCATGTCTTTATAGATATAATTACTGGAAGAAAAGTCTAACCATGATACTTCATGGAAGATAGGCATGTAAATACATTTGATGTAATTATTTACAATTTTATCTATCTGAAATGCTATGTACACCTTATCTACTTTCCTCAGCCACAAATATAATTATGATAAGTAAGGACTATTACTTTGCAATACATTCAAAATAAAGAAGTAGGTATAAAGTCCTTTCGATAAGTCTTAATCCTCATATTGATAGGATTGTAATTGCAACATCTTGGGTATTTCAAAGGTTTTATTTAGTCAACTTCATCATAGAGCTATTTATCATTTGGCTTGTTGGCGAAAAATATATGGTTGTGTGTGTTTTGTTTGTTTGTTTGTTTGTTTTTGTTTTTGTTTTTTTTTTGTTTACCTATTTTGATTTGTTCACATTATTGTCGTCAATTTTGAAATAAGAATTAAAGAAGATATAAAATCGCTTAAAATTAAGAAAAATAGCTTCTGGTTCTCTTATTTTGTTATTTTTGCATTCCAAAGTGTGGGAGTATGGAGAAAGTAATATAGCATAGCGGTTATTTGTGAACATTTTTCAATACGTTTAGCCTTTCAGTACTTTGATTGTTCAGCTGTGATCACTCGGTGACAAAATTTGTAAACAGACATACACTGCCCTAAAGACGAGGTAAGAAAGACAACTCTTGGTTAATGTATTCTTCGTTCCAAAGTAATTGAAAAAAAAAACAAACAAACGTAACTGAAACTGATATAGTGTCTTTTTTTTTTTTTAAGTTTCATATATTTTGAACAAATTTGTATTTCTGAATTAAGTACTGACCATCTTCCTGATTTTTCTCCTTTATAAGTCAACATTTTTTAGATAAAAGATCTGAAAAATACATATTCTCTACTTTAAAAAAATCACCAAATGCATGATGCTTTTGTTCACATGTAAAATATTCGTAAAACTACTTTTGCTTAAAATGAAATGACAATTTACCCTCAAGTACCATACTTCTAAAGAGTATCTAACCGTTTATTACTCAAGTTGTTTGAATACCCAACAACGGTTAGGAGGATCTCGGATCGAATCCGCTGATCCGGGCGTGGCAGTAACCTTCACACGATGCGCACACATGTTTGTAAGATAAGGTATTTTGGAGGAAGAACTTAGACCAGATGGTTGAATGATAAAGGATAATGTGTTTTCTTATATATTTGTTTATTTGTGCGTAATACCGTATATCAGGATATGTTTGCGTTGAGCAATTTTTGCGAAACCCCAAAATATGCAACGTTTTCCAATTTTTGTTTATTCAATCTTATTGCGATTTCCTCGTCTCAGAAATTTGAAAAGCCTTTTTTGAAGACCTTGAATACTTCAGAATGGACCTAGCTAATAGTTCCTCTCTGATAAGGATTGATTTTTTCAGTATCTAAAAATGACTTAGTCTACGGCATAAATGTTATCAGGACACCATTGTAGGAAGATCGTAATTCTGCAACACTTGAAATTGGTGACAAAATGCCGAATAATGGGATACGTTATTGAGGATTGAAAATAATTTGAATGTATTTCACGGTTTGACAGGCATTCTCGATGCGTTTTAGAAATTATATTACGCATAAAAACGAGTTATCTCCCTTCATACGGTGCCAGTGACAATGGCGTCAGTTTTTTTTGGTTTTTTTTTTTTTTGTAAAACAAACCAATGACTGTTTCTTATATTTTTATTGATGACATCGGTCAGCCTCATTACTCATAAACAAAAATATGTACGTCACGAAAAACATTATAAAAAAAAACAACCATCATTGTAGTCTGTGTACGATTTTTTTTCTGCAAATAATCTGGAAAAATTAAGAAATTTTCATTTATAACTGTCACATTTGAACTTATTCTACTAAAGTTTTTACAGTTGTAAACGATAGAAAGATTGCACCATATGCCTAGTTACGAACTCTTGACGCTATAATGATGAATATTTCGTTTCGTATAATATTCAAAATTTTATTTCATATATCCTTATATCGTGGCTGTTGATACGATGAATTGCTACTGAAGAATTAATTGGACTGAATGTAAACACTGTCACATTGGCGAAAACAACGGCCTGGGTCGACACCAACAGCAAATAGTTCGATGACGTCACCGTTCAGAGAAAAGTACATCATTGAAGGTTCCATATAAGGCTGAATATTTAGTATCATTATATATGTGTCCCTGATTACCATGGTATGGTATCTCCTCTAAAAAAAAACAACAAAAAAGTAGGTGGTTGGTCAATCGATCACAGACTCTTCGGAGGAATCCGGCGTTGTCACGTGGATGTCGATATTCCCGGAAGTCGTATTACGATTGCGCAACAAAGGTATACAAACTCCTCCAGACACCAGGTACATACATCCGGTCAATGCAAACGGAAAGACGTAAGACTGTGTTTTGTCGAAGAGGAATCCTACAACCGGAATAGAAATTAGAAGGTTTGGGTAGAATAGTACTTTAGGTGATCTGACTGACTGCAAAATAACTTGAATGCTTGGTATGTTTTTATCAAGTGTAGAATGTAAGAAAATAAAATCAAATTGATTTAATGTGATAAGGGAAATTACTCTAGAATAAAAAAATTAGCTGTATGTACGACTAGCCCAACTCTTATACATGTAACAACCCTTAAGTCACATTGAAACAAATCGATGTTTTGTGTTTTTATGGAAATAATGAGATCGATCACGGTGCAGTTCCGAACAGGTTTTGAAAACAACATCATCTGATCTAATTCCTGACTTTGGTATTTATTGTTGTGAATTTGATCAGAATCTTTTCAAAATTGTATTCCGGAAGACAAATTCAACTTAGACAGTTCAGTTCCTGCCGTAATGTTAAGTCGTCATGTCCAGTCCAGTTAGCCTGCTTTTATTCAAAATTATAACAGAGTTATCCCCCTTACTTTGAACAATTGTGACCTTTATCAATCCGAGAGATTGAAGTGATTGCACCGAAATATCGTCATCCCATGTTAAGATTTAATTATACGATAAAAAAGTCTATAAAGTCTGTCAGTTTGACAATGGCCTCAATTGGAGAGTCTCGATAATGTCCGAAGACTGACAACTAGCTATCATTCGAAACTTTAGTGGAATCGGATAGAGTCACGTGACTTACCTGCTAATGGTGGATTGATGATGAAGGCGATTCCTTGAAATAGGGCGATCAGTCCGAATGACTGGGTCAATCTATCTATCCCCAGATGATCAGCAATGACGATTGTCCGGAGAGAGACTGTAGAAGCTAATGGACATAATGAATATGAAATCACAAAACAAAGTAATCATTTCACTCTATTCTATCCAACTCTATATTTATTCGATAAGCACTGGTTATCTCCCCTTTCTCTTCTTTGATACAAGCAAAATCATTTGGTTGCATTTGCCTATGGTATGAAAAATAAGTTTGAAATTTTCTCCGCTCATATCTCCCACAAAACTATCTACCTACATTGTATCAAAATTGAAAACTAAAAAGGCATTTATGTTAAAGAATGAAATAAGATATTTAAATAAAAATAATTGATAAGTTATTTTCAAAATATCCGTTTTGGAAAAAAAAAATAAAGAATAAAGCGAGGACTTCAAAATCTAACCACAAAAATGGAGATTTGATCTATATGGGTCTTAACAAACGTTGGAAAAAGCATTGCTCTTGACAACATACCCATACAAAATCCAAATATCCCAGCACATACAGCAAACAGGTAGAATCGGTCACAGAATGGCAACAGGAAATTGATAGCTGCCGCCACAAATAATGCGCATGCGTAGATATGGATGCTTTTCACATGTAAGCAGTCGGTGATAAAACCGGAAACAAGCCTCCCGACGATGTTTGTTATACCAACTATTGAGATGAGAAAGGCGCACTGGTTTCTTGGAAGTCCTTTCGATAATGCCATATCCGGAAGATAGGTAAGGGAGACAATTTGAGCTGAATGAAAAAAATTCTGAGTTTAATTTAAAATTAAAATGAGTTGTTTCTTATAACTAAAGAATAAAAAATTATCATTTTTATAAGAATAGAATTGTTATTGATTTGATAGCGTTAATGATTAACGAATGTTCCCCATCATTTTAAGGAATGTAGACTTTACAAAAGAGAAGAAGAAAAAAAAACCAGAAACACGTTGTGATTATTTTGGCAAGATAAAAAAAAAGAGAACAAATTTCGAAATACATTCTTAAAGCAAGTTCATAAAGCAATGACAGTCTCGAATCGCAATTACTAGAACGATTTTGCAACTCGCCTATCATGGCAAACCATATCACAGTTCGATATAGATGATTGTCATTATACAGCGGAATCTGTTGGGATTTGTTCAGTGAGTTGGAGTGATTTTCATCAGTGATTAAAGAACAGTCGTGTTATTAATATGAAAAGAAACCGATCTGTTTAATTATAAGGATAATGCATCCCCCCTGTCTAAGATTTGACTTTTTTTCGACCATTTCGAGTTTTTTGTCAATCGCCTCCAAGGCTTCAAAATTAAGACCTTTGGCATCACTGACAAGTCCTAGAAGGACGAAACAGCTGTATGATGTAGCATCACTATAGAGTCCTAGAAGGACGAAACAGCTGTATGATGTAGCATCACTGACGAGTCCTAGAAGGACGAAACAGCTGTATGGTGTAGTATCACTGATGAGTCCTAGAAGGACGGAACAGCTGCATGATGCATTTAAATACTTTGTTTGACTCTACTGTATCTACATTTGATTTGAAAGGTGCTTTACACTTGTATGTCTGTTGTACAATCTTCACGGTATAACCTGAGCGTCTTGACAAACTGTATTAAGATTATTTTTTAGGCCAAAACAGAACATATGTGAAAGTTTCATTCGAATTTGCGAACGATTGATGGAAATCTAGACAAGTTAAACATCTCTCTATTATACTATCAAACATCTATATGAAATCTATACACACGTATCGTTAACTTTATTAGGGCATCCTGGTGGTCGTTGTTAAGACTTCGGACATAACATCGTCATATTCCTGTGAGCAAATGTTCAAAATGAGGCTTAAAACTGACGTAACTGACCTGCATAATCACAATCAGATATACGTCTCAACCTTATTGCCTTATCAGAGTTTAGTTTTAAAATTTGGAACTTGGACACGGAATGAAACAAACCATATTAAGTTTCCTTGGCTACTTAACTTTGTCGGATCTTACACCCGGTCAATGACAAATTTATCAAGTCATAAATAAGCTAATAGATTTTCTCCAGACAGATGAAAATGGCGGCCTTACACACAAATGTGTATAGTTTTTGATGTTTTTTGTGTCTTGAAATAAATGTTTACATGACTTCCATTTTTTTCCCCAAGTTGGTCGATGGAAATCTGATCAAAACAGAAAATTATTTAAGTACATGCATTGTGTTACTTATATACTTAATCAGTTTTCGGTTTTTGTTTCAATTTTTTTTCAATTTGATCTACTTATCACTGTGATGGTGAAGAGTAAGAATAGAATGTCAATTGTACACGTGTTGAACCATTCTGAAAAGACGATTTGTGCGTCTTGGTAATACATATAAGATTAAGAAGATTGATTGTGAAAAAAAAACCGAATCTGATTCGTCATAAATGACACAATAGTCTTTCATATTACATATATGATCCCCACGATTCCTACCCCATTTCGGGAGACCGAAAAGATCACGTGACCGTGGTTTTCCCTTTTGCGTCTTTCCAGTAACCAAGCAATTGCTGAAATGAAAACGTTGATGGTGCAAATCTATACATAGTTATTCTGAAGCACAAAATCTTCCATGGCGATGTTCTCTGATTTAGATTGGAGATGGACGTCATTTACCTTTTTCTTTTCTTTTTCTCTCCTTTTTTTTTTTTTTTTTTTGTCAATCGACAACAAAATATGGACCAGGAACCGAATCATGTATATTTAATCAAGAACTGTAAATCACTTGTATTTCGCGTGGGATTTATTTTCGCGGTAATACGAGAGAAGAGACAGTCGCGAATTTAAATCCTTCGCGATAATTTGTACGAAAATAACTCCATGTTGATTCGGTTACCGACATCTGAGCCTTGCCGAGTCACAGTCTCAAATAATTCATCGTTCGCAAATTTAATCAGTTCTAGATCACAGCTCGCGAAATCATGTATTCGTGAATATGTCTAAAGGTAAGTTCGAGGTATGACGAGGTATTCTGGAAATTTAAGTGATTTACAATATTCGTAAATTCTATTATTAGTGAATACAAACGGGGGCATTCATCGTTAACGAAAATATTAATCAGCACAGTTCACCAAAAAATTAACGAAAACACCTTCGTGTTTAGTTCAATTCAGAGAACATCACTTAATGTCAACCTATGCAATCTTTACTCTATCGTAACTTTTCTCCGAAAGTTTTCAAAAACAGCAAAGCATTTCAAAAATGTCTGTATGGGAAGATGTAGAGTAGGGTATCTATTTAGGGTATTCCTTGTAGAGATGAAATGTAACTGTGATGTACAGTATCGGTTTCCGTTAAGTGAAGTGGTTTTCGTGTCGGCCATATTACCGTGTAAACCACGTGATTTCCCTCCGTGATGATGTTTTGTTGAATAGCACTCGAAATTAGCATAAAAATGAAATGTTTACAATTGATTTGCACGGTTCTTGATGACGGTAAACAATTCCAAAGTTTTTGTCCATGGATGTGTAATATCAATTATGCTTGCGGAGGAATACCGAATGAAAATGTAAACAGAACTAATAGTTTGAAAATAGGATTAGAACACGATATTTTATAAATAAACAAGAAAATAATATCTGATTATAATGTAAAGCCACGCTCTATATTTAAAAGATATAGAAATCCGTGTTTTTCCGAGTAAAGAAAATAAAATGATATTGACTAAAACAACAGCAACGTTTGAAAAATAAATACCCGAGTTGGACACAGAATTTGAGATCAGGGAGTTACCTGATGACACTATTGGAAGTGAGTCTGCCTGCTGGCAATCGAGAAAATCTGAGTAAAAGTTGAGTAAATAGGAAGTCTAAAGGCCGCTTAAAATGGAAGCTGATGAAAGCGCTAGGGTCTCCGGCAGTTTCACAAGTACCCAGCAATATATTGTTCCTCCAATGTAGATACACTTCGATGTGGAAACAGAAAACGAATTCATCCAAACTGTATCATTATAATTCATGTGTTATTTTAACGGACAGTTTCAATATAAAAGCGACCAATTTTGACAAAAAAGACAGAGAGAAAAAATAGAAAAAGAAAAATGGCAACGTGTAAACATATCCAAAATTCAAACTCAAATCAAGTAAAAACTTTGACAAAATATGATAACGAGAAAGGTTTTCAAGATTTACACGTAGACTCCTTAGGAAAGTACAAAGAGAATAAGATCATGTGCTCTGGAAGCGAAAGCGTCCTCTTCTTCATCGACGACTTCCACACAGCGTTTTCTTTTTAAGTTTTGTTTTTCTTTGAGTCACGTTGAAACTAATCTATGTATATAAGGAACATATCCAGTTTTCATGGTCAGATGAATATTGAAAATAAATGTGTAATTTAGATATGTCACGGTTACAAATATTGCTGTTGTACGTTTGTACGATATAGTGTTATAAATGTGTGTATATTTGATATATATTGATATATTTTGACATTAGAAAACGAAAAATATTTTAATATCACTTTACCATAACCAGAGAAGATATCTTGAAGGATGAAATAATATTGAATAGATATAGTAAATAAAAAAAATGTTTTACAAAATGAATAAATAAAACGAAATTGCTAGTTATGATTAAAACAAAGCATTTCCTACCTGTCCAGGTTGTCATACATATCGCTAGCAATAGGAAAGTTGGATCTTTCAACAATTCGAAGCAAAATACATCATTGACATCAATTCCAAAACAATGTCGCAATGACCTAGTTTCGCCGTTATCTTTGGTCACCGTGGCCGATTTGATTTCTCGTTCTGTTTGAACTTCCGGTATGTTTTGAATACTTCCGCTATAGAATATGTCTTTTTTCATCATTGGATTCAGCAGTCGTGGTTTTGTCATTGGAGATGACGTCACTTCACAATATCGCTGTGTTATGTCGATTGCACTTTTAAATTGTCGTGATTTTTGGCCAAGAACATGGTCTTTTGAAACGATGACGTCAGAACTTCTACTGATGTCTGATCTGTCAAGTTTATGAAAGCCCAAAGGTACGTTACAAATAATATAATCTTCCTTTTCTGTTCCTTTTTTCACAAAGTCACCACTACCGAATCCATACTTCCGGTTTAAGAAGCTTTCGTTGACATCTGGATGGTCTGATAGGTCACAAGATGAAGTTTTGTAACTTCGGTATTTTTTCTTGCTGGAATTGATTACGTGGGTTGTTAACAATGGCCGAAATATCATACCACAAACAACTACGTGCAACAGAATCCCCGCCAGAATTAGAATTGTTCCTCGCCATCCGTACATGGAGAGTAGGACGTCTGTGATGTAGGCGTATCCGAACGTTCCCAAACCGGAACCGCTGGTCGCGATCCCCGTCGCTAAGGCACGCTTCTTATTGAAATAAAGACCAACGACAATAATGGCTGGGATGAACATCATACAGAAGCCAATTCCTGAAATCATTAAATATAAATCATTGTTAATCTTCATCTGTAACTTCATACTGACATGAGTACAAATATTTTAGGCCATTTTGTTAAACATTGACGCATCCTATTTGCTTCCGAATATATAGATTAAAAGCTCAAACTCAGAACGTATATCATTTTCACTGTGCCAGAAGTTACGATCTGCTTATTTACTGAAATAGATAGGATAGAAGATGGAATCGAATGAATATCCTTAATAAACATAACACGATATCAATGTTTGTTTCTTACAAAGATCTTGCGAGATAGGGGAAGAGTTCAAGTGACGGTGATCAAATTCTATTTATAGTCATGTGAATGAGATATCTTCTGTATGTGTTTACAAATTTGACAAATGTTGAGACATCACTTATAAATGCCGATCTGCGTGCGATTGGTAATAGAAGTGTAGTTTTGAAATGAGCTAAGCGACATTCTACCGAAGCAAACGTCTAGTGTGATGTTTATCGGTCTGATTTCATGATATAATTTGGCCGAATTTCAGACGAACGTAACAGAAATATTCACATTTATCTTAACTGTGTGGATAAGTATCCTCGGTAATCTAGGGGTTACGATCACTTTCGCTCTTTTTATACCTGGAACATGTCATGCCAAAAATGAAGGTTGCATGTGCGACACCTAGTGGACAAGGCGAAAACACTAGTTTGAATCCTTTGATGCACATCAAACGAATCTTGAAGTCGCATGACGGTATATTGCAATGGGTTTAGTGTGGGTGTGGCTTATTTGTAATCTTCTTAAAGAGCGTATTAGCTTGTAATTTGTCAGAGTTTTCTCCCCTGGAGCCAATCAAAATACTTTGACTGTGGCTTCAAGGTTTACCATGATATGTTCCATGGGTGCAGAAAGCGAAATTGATTGTAATACCTGGAGTATCGTGGATATGTGGGTAAAAAAAGTGGGCGGAGATGGGAAGAGTCATCTGCTGATTTTTACGCCTTCAGAACCCAAAAACCAAATGACGTCATATTGTCATTACGTCATACTTACCACCGACTATGCCGTATGTAATAATGAGAAGTTCGATGTTTGGGGAGAAGATGGACACGATAAAACCGCACGCAGCCACAGCAGCACCCGTGATAGTTACGGCTCTGATGGAGAATTTCCGTAATAACAAACTCACGAAAGGACCTGTGAAAAATTAAAACAATCGTTAATAATCATATTCCACTTGTCATTTACAGTTAGTATTAAATCTAGCGTGCATCAAATTAAAACATTATATAATTTTTTTATTTACAAGTATTGAAAGGTCTGTTCTCAATGCGCTTCATTCTCGAAAGCCGGTACATACAGCGACTTACGATATTCAACGTACATTTTCAATTCAACCCTTTGCACCACAGTATGTTTCCTCGAACATGATCAGAAACAGGACACGACAAGTGATTTAGAAGATTACTTTTCCGCACTTGCCTCTTTGTATACGAGAATCAAATATGACAGTCGGCGGCCATATTGAACGTTGGATTTTGATTTAAATCGAAATCAGATGGTTAAATGAAATCAAAAAGGCTTGAGCACAGGAGCAGCAGAGAAAACATCAGAAATATTTGAATAATTTAACAAAAATCATCATTTATACCTGATTACTTACCAACCATCATACTCATTCCAACAAGTGCCGACCCGACCCAGGACGTTTTCGACTTTGTTTCGCCAAAAAACTCTAGCAAGTCAATCAGCAGAACTCCAAATGAAAACATGGTACCATCAAGTACAAAATTAGTTATGAAACTTCCGAAACAGACAACCCATCCCCAACCTCCATCTGGCGCAATAACGTCCTCCTCGGACAGTGAACTGGAACCGGAAACGGAAGATGACATCCCAGATACCCCGGAATCGCGCACTCTGCTGACATCCTTATGTTTATCATGTTCCATTTTATTGCCTTCTGTTGATTTATCTTTTCATTGTTTTCTGTAATAAAGTAATAAATAAAATAAGTAAATAAATAGATAAATGTTGATCAAAGGTTATAATATTACGCTATAATGTGTTGTAATTAATTAGATTAAAAAAACGGATCCTTACTCAACTTTCGAGAATATTTTATTTATTTTGTATGAAAACTCATCAGTAACCGATTTTTATGTTTTCTGTTGAAAACGCCAGTCCGGTTTTCACGAGATTTTTCATAGTTACAACAGACATGTGAATGTGAGGAACGACAGCTCTACACAGACCATTCCATGGATAGACTAAATAACAACGAAAGCTGTATAACCATATTTACAAAATTAAAAAAAAATATTGATGTAAGTTAAGCAGTCCACAATTACAAATTTACTGTTTTTTGTTCAATTTTGATGGTTAAAAATTTGGCGGTTTTATAAAAAAAAAAACAAAAAAAACAATCAAAAACCAAAACAAAAAACAACCCTCGATCTGTATTCAATACTCCACCAGATTTCCATAAGGTTCAATCACCGTCAGGACCAAGATTTTCTTCAATACACGTAGTGACACGTACATACAAAACTAAAATTATTAAAAAGATATGAATGGGCCAGCAGAGAATCTCTCGTCTTCTCGTGAGAATCTTCGCTATCTACTGTACAACTTTAAATGTATGTGTGACCCAGTTTTATCAAGCATCGTCGGATATCAGACTTAATAAGAGTAAAAATCAAAGAAATGAAAGAACGTTTTTTAAATGAAATGTACACGTACGTTGTACATGATGTAGCTCTTTTGCAGAATTAATAAACATTCTGCTTTTTCATTTGTGTGAAATGATTGTTAGTTTAGAATAGAAGTTATGGTAGCGCAATTTTTCGTATTTGCTCAAAATGACTTAATCTGGAAAATAAAACTTAAATAACCTGCTAATACCTGAAATACTTATACAGAAATTTGTATTTCTACACATTAAAACAGATTTAATTATCATCACTTCATCTAACAAAGCCTGTACGTACTGGTAGGTAGCTCTAGCGTACGTATACAAAAATGGCAAAAAACAGCTTCCTGGTAAATGATATGATGGATGATGGTTTCACTGAAAAAGATTTACATACCTATTGAAATAAGATGCCAATGTTTGTGAAAAAAAAACATATATCCAGTCACTGACTGCTCATCCTTTGTTCAGGATAAACATATTTGTTTCTTGTTGCCTGACCGTCTCTATTAATTTGCAGCATACCTTATCTTTTTAACATTTTAACAAAAATGTTCTAAAGATATGCTTTCGTTCCCAAACAGCAGTGGTGTCTAGATGTAAATCTGCCTAAGGCTTTTAACATATATTCATAGAGAATGATATCAAACATCTTGTCGACACCGCTCTGGGAGGATGGCGGTGGCCATGCCGTCATCAGTTTTAGCGATGAAATTTATAAAATACATATTCACAATAACCAAATGAGGAGAACAGGAGATCCGGAAAAATAGGCATCTATTATGCACCTCTTCAAAATGTGACAACTGCGATGTTTTGTCTGATATTTACCAAATTTCAATGTTTTGTCTTCTTTTTTATGTCGAGGTAGATAAATTTGGGGTAAGGTATATAAGAATCACATTGTCAAGCTCTTTAACGTGTTATGTCATTTATGAAAAGTGACATCTGTTAGTATATGGAAGACATTCATTTTCTGAGATAACAAAAAAATCAGCACAGATATTCCAACACAGATTGTGATATTCAGCAGGATAAAAATCTCATTCTACACACATGGGACACTGATGTATCTTATGTATATATACCATGTCATATTATATATACTTTAGTCGTTTGAAAGTTCAATTTAACTAGTCGTCACTTCGTCATTCGTTCGTTCTCTCTTTCTTTCGTTCATTATTTTCGTTCTTTGGTTCGTTTGTCATGAAGGTCGTGATGTCATTATTTTCGTGATGTCTTTGAAGATTGTGTTTGTGAAGATTGTGATGTCATGTGAAGGTCGTGATGTCATTCGTGAAGATGGTGATGTCATTTGTGAAGGCCGTGATGTCATTCGTGAAGATTGTGATGTCATTTGTGAAGATTGTGATGTCATTCGTGAAGGTCGTGATGTCATTTGTGAAGATTGTGATGTCATTCGTGAAGGTCGTGATGTCATTCGTGAAGGTCGTGATGTCATTCGTGAAGATTGTGATGTCATTCGTGAAGGTCGTGATGTCATTCGTGAAGGTCGTGATGTCATTCGTGAAGATTGTGATGTCATTCGTGAAGGTCGTGATGTCATTCGTGAAGATTGTGATGTCATTCGTGAAGATTGTGATGTCATTCGTGAAGATCGTGATGTCATTCGTGAAGATTGTGATGTCATTCGTGAAGATTGTGATGTCATTCGTGAAGATTGTGATGTCATTCGTGAAGGTCGTGATGTCATTCGTGAAGATTGTGATGTCATTCGTGAAGGTCGTGATGTCATTCGTGAAGGTCGTGATGTCATTCGTGAAGGTCGTGATGTCATTCGTGAAGGTCGTGATGTCATTCGTGAAGATGGTGATGTCATTTGTGAAGGCCGTGATGTCATTCGTGAAGATTGTGATGTCATTCGTGAAGATTGTGATGTCATTCGTGAAGATCGTGATGTCATTCGTGAAGATTGTGATGTCATTCGTGAAGATTGTGATGCCATTCGTGAAGATGGTGATGTCATTCGTGAAGGTCGTGATGTCATTCGTGAAGGTCGTGATGTCATTCGTGAAGGTCGTGATGTCATTCGTGAAGATGGTGATGTCATTCGTGAAGATTGTGATGTCATTCGCGAAGGTCGTCCGTATTTGTGAATGCAGTTCCTGCTGAACTTCGTTCATTCGTCCTTAAAATTCGTCCTTTCCTTCGTGCCGTCTTTCGTGGAAGTCGTTTGTATGTGTCAAAATCCTGAAGAGCCTGCATGCTGTCGTTCATCCTGTCATTCATGAAGCTCGTGGAGCTCGTGCTGGTGTTCGTGAATTTCATCCGTTCGTATGTGAAGCTCGTAATGGCGTTCAGGACGGTCTTCCATTCGTTCATGAAATATTAATATTTTGTCCATATTTCGTTCACACTTTCGTCCGTTAGCTTCTTATATCAACTAAATTATATTTCTTTCATACACAAGTGATGAATTGTTTACAATGACGTTATATAAAGTGAGGTCAGTCACCCAGCTAGGTCATTAATCTCGTCTTAATAGAAGCAGTGTAGTACATGTATTAACCATGTACTTACCGTGTACTTACTTAATTACAAATCTCTGTCCACGTATTGAATCTTGTTAAAAAATCCCCAACATCCATGGCAACTTACACATAGTGAATTGAAGTGAAATAGCACATTCTTACATTGTCCAGTGAATTAAAAATCCCAAATTCGACATCCGCAGCGCGAGTGAGTTTAAATGGTCCGAGATCAAACACTTGGCCATGCATAGTGATATGATATACATTGGCCTATCAAATGAAACAAGCCAATCGATATATCGATCCCTGTAAACGAGAGTGATCGCGGTGTGGATGTACTTATGTACATTCAATTGAAATCAATACAGTTTTCCTCGTCAAAATCAAATATATAATTGATAAATGATATCTTTATTTCTATGAGGCTTCGAACAAAAATTAATGTACTGGAACAACGTGAATGATAAGTTACATTGGTAGTGTATAGGAAGCCACAATGCAAACCTGCACGTGAATACGAGAGCGTGCTAAACCTGTACAGGTAAACGTCCTAACGGGCATTAAGCACTAAGTAGTCTGAATTAGATGTAGACCGGTAGTCTAAATAAGGCTGAAGTAATAGTCCCTACTTCATGGAAAAGGAACTAAATCTGAACTATGGTTAGAAATCTGACTTACACAAGACTGCAGTCAAATTTTTTGTAATTTTCCGGACCGGATTCCGGCTTTTTTCTGTATATATGTTATAGTTGTTGTTGGGACATCCGAACAGAACATGGATGCGACACTCCTAGAAACTCCTAGAACGCAGCTTTTACTGTTAATAGAAATGAAACCGAATCAATAATGGCGAATGTAGTCTTGATTGTTTATAGAAAGACAGCTTTATATGTAGTATGGGCTATTTATAGAAAATAGTCCTTGTCATAAAGACGAACGTAGACTGGACTATTTTAAGAAAGACAGTCCTAAGTAGTCTGGTCTGTTTATAGAAGAACATTCCTAACTGTAGTCTTGACTATTTATAGAAAGGAAGTCTTACCTGAAGTCTTGACTATTTATAGAAAGACAGTCCTAAGTGTAGTCTGGATTATTTAAAGAAAGGCAGTCTTGGCCATAACGACGAACGTAGACGTGACTATATATAGAAAGACAGTCCTGACTGTAGTCTGGTCTATTTATAAAAAGACAGCCCTAGCTGTAGTCTGGACTATTTATAAAAAGACAGTCCCGGCCGTAGTCTGCATTATTTATAGAAAGACAGTCCCGGCCGTAGTCTGCATTATTTATAGAAAGGCAGTCCCGGCTGTAGTCTGCACTATTTATAGAAAGGCAGTCCCGGCTGTAGTCTGCACTATTTATAGAAAGACAGTCCTCTCTGTATTTTGCACTATTTATAGAAAGACAGTCCCGGCCGTAGTCTGCACTATTTATAGAAAGGCAGTCCCGGCCGTAGTCTGCACTATTTATAGAGAGACAGTCCCGGCCGTAGTCTGCAATATTTATAGAAAGGCAGTCCCGGCCGTAGTCTGCACTATTTATAGAGAGACAGTCCCGGCCGTAGTCTGCAATATTTATAGAAAGGCAGTCCCGGCTGTAGTCGTAGTCTGCAATATTTATAGAAAGGCAGCCCCGGCTGTAGTCTGCACTATTTATAGAAAGACAGATCGTAGACAGTGTTTATAAGAAAAAGTCTTGACTATCTATAGTAATGTTGTGCTATTTATAGAAATACAGTCCTAGCAACATGGACGAACGCAGTTGTAACCACAGTATTTATAAGAAAAATGTCGACAAAAAAAATC